AATACATTAACTTGCATTGAATCAAATGTGTTATATTGTAGCCGGCTTATCTCTCGTGCTCTTTAACCTTGGCAAATTCAACAGTTTACAAGTAACCTTTGTATCTTAAAGCCACCAATGCAGAACACGTGTTAGCGTGCATCTGTATTTACCTGCCGAATTCAAATACAGGACTCAGATCGATCATGTGTTGTAAATGTAGAGCCCTTTTGTCAATCCGCAGGTGGATGCGGGCCTCCCCACAAGGTGCAGTTGGTGAGGGTTTTTTGACCATACTTCAACCACGCTCATCAGTGCGGTTTGGTGAAGGCAAAGAGAATAATTGTTGGATCAAAGTATAATACCCCGAGTTACGATGGTCCGACTTACGATCTTTCGATCTTACGATGGCGATACGACAAAATTGTAAAAGTTTTTAAATTTTGCGCGGCAGGCAAACGCAGCAACGTACGAATCTTGGTGAGTACAGTACAATATGATACGTTACGATACGTTCAATGAATGTATGATACGTAGCTTTAGCGATTTCATGTTAGGGTTACCACGATACGATACGTTCAATGCATGTTAAAACTTTTTTTAGAGCAGATAGAATTGTTTCCTGAAAAAAATGTATATTAAATTGCAGTTCATATAGGTAGGCTAAGAATTTACCTTGTTTTTTTACTTTACATTTCACTGTGCAATACAGTATTGTAATTAATAAATACGTACAGTAGATAGTTTATACAGTACGGTACTGTAAATTGCTGTTTTGATAAATTATCACCATTCTTTAAGACTCCTGGGTAGGCTAGGTCATCTTCGACTTACGATATTTTTGACTTACGATGGGGTTGTCATAACGCATCTCCATCGTAAGTAGAGGACTACCTGTACCTTGATTGATGTTTCTGCAGTATCCTCTGCCGACAACAATCACTGTATTATGCACAAGGGTGCCTATGCACCTTCCAAGCTCACTCCTGCATAGTTTCTGAGATCTCGATTAGAGCTAGCACATTCTGGGTGACTTGGTCATCGGCAAGCATAATCGTGTACAGATTTACTACATCACCATGGAGTCTGGATAGAGGCACATCGGCAATCATCAAGATTGTACTCTAGGGCTGTGACGTGGGCTTGAAAATGTTAAGACCCGTGAGTGAATAACTCCTCGTGTGTATGGAGTTTGCTCCGGCGATTCCCTTACACGTGCAGTCAATATGGATGGATTTATAAATGTGTCGTAATCCTCCACCACCCGACACGGCCAAACAGTAAAAAATGTGTCACGTTTTTTAAAGGACAAACTAATTCAATTATTTAGCCCACCAGTGTGCTGAAGAGAGAATTAACAGCATTTTAAAATTAAAAATTTGGGCTAAAGAAGTGAATTATTTTGTCCTTTGAAAAACGTGACACATTTTTTACTGTTTGGCCGTGTCGGGTGGTGGAGGGTTACGACATATTTATAAATAACGCGATCTGACCCAAAAACCTATATTATGAATAACATTGGTCGCGAAAGCCTACGTGTTAAATTGAATATGGATGGAATTGGTCAAATCAGACCTGGGGTTAATTATAATTACCATCACAACGGTATTGTTAGCGGAGATTGCAATTACGGTACATTGCCATTAATTCAAAATGATTGAACCCAGGTATGTGGCAAATATCCCAAAGTTGGCCCTCCTGAAACAGTCTTGGGACAAGGTGGCGCCTTGCTGGGTATTATTTTATACACACACATACTTTTAAACTATTAAACACAATATTGCGCAGTATTGTACTTGTAACGATAGAGGTTAAGCGTATAGCATTTCCATTTTAAACTTGCAGGTCTGCATGCCTGTGCAATGAATGTATCTCAAATGCTTCATTATCGAGACAATTTAACACAAGTATAGATTGTACAGTGCATTTAAGCCTTATGATATTTCGCACACACATTATTGCAATAAATGCACCATCATGGGTCACATTTAAATATATACAAATAGTTTTAAATGCAACATTCAGTCCACAGCCTATCTTCCTTAATGACAAACAGGTCTTCATAACAACACTGTATCATGCACTGTATTCGGCGTGATGCGCAGTGAATTATAACACTATACTGTACTATGAACTCAAGATAACCTGAGTTCGACTCGCGGTTACAGCTAACCTTAGCGGCGATAACTAAACCACGACCGGCCGCTCTCTCCCTTCACCAATCCACACCGACTAACCACGGCATGGGAGGGCCTTCATCCCAACAGCGAACCGACAAGGGGCAGTAACATCAATACAGGATTATTACAAGCAATGTGTCCAAAATAGCCCAATCTCGTATGTGCACCCTGAAGGAAATATTACATGCATACCGTGTTGAGTCGAGCTTCGGATGACAATAAGGTCTATATTTAGCGATCCCACGGCGCCGTGTGCATTGAGAGCCGGCGATCAGGTTCCCGGGTGCAATGGAACGAGCCACACACACACGGCACAGTACTTGTGCTGTAAGCCTGTAACGTAATTAGTGGCGATGCTGTCATGTACTGCAATGTAACTTAAGCAGCACCAGTGACACTTCGCAAATGAGTCACCCACGGTGTGTGTCGAGCACAACAAACAGAAGCAACACCGCCTTGGTGTGTTAAGACAATTCAAAAGTCCATCGAGGTCGTGCGTGAACCAAACGTCTCTGTGAATGTCTTTGTGCCAAGCATTGTTTGGCCAAGGCTCAATGTACCACAATTGTACATCTGCAGCCATTTGTAAAGCCACTGCTGAATGAGTTGCCTGTCCAAGCCGTGTGGCGGGGTTATTTTGCCATACATCACCATGCTGGTCAAGGTGGAGCAGCAGGTATAAGTGCATGACAGCCATTGCTTTGGATGGGCTGCCCTTCTGCTGTCAACCACACAGAGCCTACAACGCCTGTTATGCATGGATAATTAAGGGCAGTTTTGGTCATAACGCGTTCAATACATTACACAATCCATATTACTATCGAGTTTCGTGTGAAACGTTAGTGCACACATATCCTATTCATAACAGCCTGCATGAAGGAAATAACTTAACCAAGTGAAAGTCGGCACACGTCTCCCTGATTGACACTATCGGTGGCCATGACAACATCGTTGGGTAATTCCAGATTTTGATGACCAGAGCCAATCCTGCCAATAGGGACAGGCAAATATTGACAACTAAAAGTTGTATAACTAACAAAGATAAAGATCCCCCAAATAGCCTAAACAGACTGTAGGGGCAAGTGCTGTTAGCGAGCACCTATGAAGGCCGGAACGGTACACGAGGGGGTGGGTGGCCAACACCACGCCCGACCGCCTTTGGCTCCCTAGTGGCAATGTTTACACACCGCACCAGGTACTCATTTGAGGCCGAGTCGACCTAGGGGAGGCCCGGGACTGGTTCAGATAATCGTCACTGGTGTTGGCCGTGAGCGGGAATCGAACCCGTGTCGCCGGGTTCATAGCGCAGCGCGCTAACCACTACACTACCGCTAACACACACTAACGCACACTAACAGACACTAACACACACTACAACAACCGCCATTCGCCACTAAGTGGCGGTGACGTCACCACGACGCTTGTGCCAGGCCAAGTGCACCTTGAGGCCACGTGAAGTGTCGAACGCCCGCTGGCAGGAGGTCACGGGGCAGACCCAGGTGCCACGGGTCGACTGACCGAGATGACTGGCCGATGCACCACCTGTGCCCCCTACTGTACCAACACACTAACACACACTGCAACTGATAATTGCATCTCGCAAACGAGCTTTGTGGTTAGCCAAACAGCGGTGGTGGAAATTCCACGTCCCTAGGGCCCCCCGTGTCCCTGGCCACAACTGGATTTCCACAAAGTGGGAACATCGTAGTAGCTTCGTAAATATTTACACCATTGGAACCTCATTTGCCAGTAAAAAAATATGATAATTGTTTTTTACCCTTTTATCTGGCAACAAACTGACACCTTTTTTCACAAGGAGTCATGTTGCATAGACCACAATACCTGCAGTCATAATGCAAACAAAAACATAACTCTGATAATGTATGCACTGTCCTTGAAGTCGATTGGTCCACACCCGAGACAGCTTTCCTTACCAATTATCTTATTATCTTAAACCAAGTATCATATTTTTCTACTGGCAAAGGAGGTTCCAATGGTGTAAATGCTTACCCCGAGCTCTCATACTTTGATGGTGCATTGTCTTTGAGTTGTGCGCCTTTTGGCGTCATCTGGTCCAACACCATGTGAGACTAGGCTCTAAGGAAAGCTGTCTCGGGTGTGGACCACTCAACTTCAAGGACAGTGCATACATTATCAGAGTTATGTTTTTGTTTGCATGACTGCAGGTATTGTAGTCTATGCAACATGACTCCTTGTGAAAAAAGGTGTCAGTTTTGTTGCCAGATAAAAGGGTAAAAAAACAATTATCGGCATCGTAAACGACTGCACTTTCTGAAACTCTAAAGCCCAAATATGCTATGTGCTCGTTGAAATTGTACGTTCTCCTATGGAGGATCCCTGGCTCACCAGGAGATGATCCACTATTAACTTTCCACTGTGTGATCATCTACTTTATAGCGTGACACAACGAAAAGACATCCTTAGGTCTCACACTAAACTTGTGGACATTCAACATTTCTCTGGCCAGTTCAGGTCTCACCAGTAAGCTTTCCTGTATATTTGTTGATTAGGTCACTCGGCCAAATACACTGCGCGGTGTATAATGTAACTTACAACACGTCTGACACTACGTGTATAAGTTACAGTACAACAATGGTTGAAATTCCACATTACAGTGGCGGTTGCCAGTATCACCATCAGCGATCAGACCGCGACCGACTTTGCATCAAACGTTTGGGCTACTCAATGTCATCGACCGCTGCAGTAAGTCCCCACGACGATCTGCGCGGCGGCTATTTGACAAAACACGGCAATTAAAAAGATAAACAACTTAAACAATCGACGTTTAACGGCACGTAAACAACAGCAACCCGTACTCACCGCCAGGCCCAACCATCCGAATCGCAAACTTATCCATGTGCGCGCGTGTAAGGCGGCGGCGGCGGCGGTGGTGGTGGTGGGAAAACAATCCAAGCTAACGACGCCACTACCTCACGAACATTAACCTCCGGCAGAAGTAGAAAAACAAAAAAAATGTACTCCTAATAATTAAGAGATTAATAAAACCAAAGTAAACACGGAGGCCGTCACAACCCCCACGCAACGAAAAAAAAATCCCCCCCTCCTCCTCCTCACTCTGCCGCGACGCGGATGTGGACAGGCCGCGGCGCGCGTTTGCATTTCGCAGCGCGGATAAGCGCGCCTCGCGACGCCACGGCCGCGCGCGGTTGGTTGCGGGGGCCGCGACCACGTGGTTGGGCGGCAGCGAATCGCGGGCGGCGCGGCTCGCTATCCGAACTGGGAAATTAGAGAGAGGGGTGGGGAGGGGGTGGGGGGGAGGAGGTTAGAAGGGGGGGGGGTGATTCACCGCCATCCGTTGTGAGTCGCGGTATTCCTCCGCGCGGGAAATGTAGTCACCCGCCGCAGCCCCTCCCCCCCTCTCGGCTGGATTAATAGCTGGCAGATATTTTTTTAAAAACAATGATGTCATTTAAATATTGTTTGGGTCTTGCGGTAAAGTCACGGATACGGTTCAAAGAAAGTAACAAAAAAAACTACGACGTTTCGATCACAACACAAGCGATCGTCATCAGGAGGAAAGGAATTTGTTCAGCACTTGATTCGATTATTCGTCGTCGGCCGTGGTCAACTCCACTGCTGGATGAAGGCCTCGCCGTCTCTCGGCGTTGTTAATAATCCACCTGGCATGCAAATGTTCGCCGGTTCTACTCCATCTCGCAGTTGGAACGAGCTTCTTGAACCACACCACACCAAGTTCAAGTTTTTTCAAGTTCATTTATTAGGTATAGCCCTGTGAGCCATTCAGCTCTTGAATCGGGTGCAACCGCAACAAACAAAAAACAAAAACATGAACAAAAAACATCTTAAAGTGAATATGTGACTAAGTGCAAACAGAAAATTCAAGAAAAGACAGCAAAAATATTGCAGAAAAAACACCGTACACCAACGCTCCGCTGTCGCTATGGGCCCAGCTGTGTAAAAGGGCATCGTTACACTGGCGTGTGTGGTGGGGTCAAGTGTGTGGTGGGTACGGTGACTTCCCACGGCTTCCATCGCATCTGGCCGGCGTGGAAGAGCAGGCCAAGGTACCCTGATCGAGCGGGGGCTGTCTCGCCAGCAGGGACGTGGGAAAGTCATTACGATTTTGAAACTTTATGTTAAAACGCACGTGAAGTACTGTTATCACTCCGGCCAAGTTCCCTTTCGGGCCAATTGTTTTTTTTAAAACGTTCACGTCGAAATATCTGCTTGGTTCTTTCGGTAAAGTCACGTAGAAGGGAAATAATACAATTATAAAACAATAAAATTATCACGACGTTTCGACTGCAACACAAGCAATCATCATGATGATGAGATGGTAATTGCTTGTGTTGCAGTCAAAACGTCGTGAGAATTTTATTGTTTTATAATTTTATTATTTCCCTTCTACGTGACTTTACCGAAAGAACCAAGAATATGAATCCCTGCAGTCACGAAAGCTTTAAATCTAAAGTTCGCTCGAAATGTTCGTGGATGCACTGGCACCAGCCATTGGAATGTGCACGTGGTAGTGAGCGGTCAGCGCCACGCTGCACTACGAACCCGGCCACCCGAGTTCGATTATCTGAACCAGTCCCGGGCCCTCCCCTAGGTCGACTCAGCCTCAAATGAGTACCATGGTGCAGTGTGTAAACATCGCCACTGGGGAGACAAAGGCGGTCGGGCGTGGTGCTGGCCACCCACCCCCTCGTGTGCCGTTCCGTCCTTCATAGGTGCTCGCTAACAGCACTTGCCCCTACAGTCTGTTAAGGCTACACGGGAGAACTTTGACTTTGATCAGCCATTGTAGCGTGACATGGTCCAGATAAAATTCAGCGAAGGTCAATGGCTCAATTTCTCGTTCTGTGCACAGAGAAGGCAACTTAATCTCTTTATTGTTTTTGCTACTCAAACCTTTATGGCTTAGCTATTTTTAGGTGCTTGCAGCATTTAATTTGAAAGCACAACCTGCCCCAAGACAGGCTTTTGTGTCTCACGGGAGTGCAATTTCAGGCACGAGGAAATGCATTCCAGGCCACTTATTCCAATCTCATAGCAACGAGGGGTTGAATCTTCTTGACTGACATTTAGAAACAACAGTACAAAATGCAATGTTACCAGTTGGCTCAAGAGGGGCAAGAGCGCTGCAACTTTTGATGAAAGCAATTGTCCTATGAATCAAGTTGCCCCCGCCATAGGAATGTGGAATTTCCACAGCTGGCTCAGGCCTGTAATGTTGACTATAGTTGGGACATCCCTTTGACCTGTGGTAAAGCCAGCCCCGCAAGCGGAGTGAGTTGGTGGTCTCAGCACGGTCACCAATGACTTCACGCACACACAAAAACAGTGACAATAAATTTGATTTTGCACTTAATTTGGCTAAATTGCGCATGCGCGGTTGGCCACGTGCGGTGCGAAAGAAGTTCAACATACCTGTACATACATGCGGTGAACACCGCTCGCATATGCATAGCGGGCGAGAAATGGAGCATGCCATGATGCCTTGAAGAGGAAAGTTAGTGCCAGCTATGATGGATCAGAAACATGGGCACAGCAGCGGCTGCCCTTACAGAGACGACATGACGCATGTATGAGGAGCATGAGAGTACATTAAAATAAATGAATTGGTCGATCCCTCTACATCTGCACGTGCAAGCAGACCCACAATGTCACACACCACGCCAACTGGCTGACAACAAAGGGGCCGTCCATAAATGACGTCACGCGATTTTGACGATTTTTGACCCCCCCCCCTCGTTACACGGCGTCACAAAAAGTCAGACCCCCCCTCAAATATGACGTCACAAAGCCCTGCCCCCCCCCCCCAAATAAAACATGCTTCAAATCGCTTTAAACTATTGTCATTGTGGTGCGTCTTTAGTGTGGCGCTGCACTCTGATGTTGTAGGAGAATACATTTATTAAAAAGTCTATTTAATTAAGTAAAACGTGTTTTCTATATTTATTTAAAGCTGCGCATTTTGATGTGACGTCACATTCCTCACCCCCCCCCCCCCCTCGTCACACATCGTCACAAATGTCTGACTCCCCCCCCACCCTTAGGTGCGTGACGTCATTTATGGACGGCCCCAAAGCACCGCGCATCGTTTCATTTAAAGTGTTGACAACTCGTATCGATTACAACAACTTCGATCGTACTGTTTCTTACTGGCCACTTTGACGTTTTGGGCCTTTGGACCTGTGCTCAGCAACTGTGATATAACAATAACAAAATCGCCAGTGTAAACAAAGTACGATGTTTTTACTGGTAGGAACCTCCTGGTTACACCAGCCCACAGGGGATTATTGTGTCCGTCGTGCAGAGAAGAGCTGGGTGGGGACGGAGGGGCTGGGTGGGGAGGGGAGGGTGGGGAGGGGCTGGGTGGGGAGGGGAGGGTGGGAAGGGGCTGGGTGGGGAGGGTGGAGCTGGGTGGGGAGGGGAGGGTGGGGAGGGGCTGGGTGGGGGAGGGTGGAGCTCGGTGGGGGGTGGGAGAGGTGGGGCTGGGTGGGGAGGGGCTGGTCACCCCGTGGTGCCCTTATAAAACTCAACGTTTAACCTACTCACGCCGGCTTGTGCCCGCCCTCACAGTCGGGCATATTTGCGGAATACACCACGCCGCCGTTGACCCTGCAGGCCATTGACCGAGCAACCCAACGTTCCTACCAGCTCCCTCCGCCGGAATGTGTTTTGAATATTAGTATGCATTTGGAAGGCATTGCCTGCAGCCGCTAGAGGGCGATGCTACTCCACATTCACCGCAATGTTCTACAAAGCAATATCGCTACTGGAACTATAAAAACAGTGCAGTACTGTAAACTCAAATTAATATCGTGGTGATATCGCGATATATCGTGTTAATTATCACGATATATCGTGTTAATCATCGCGATATATCGTGTTAATTATCGCGATATATCGTGTTAATTATCGCGATATACCGTGTTAATTATCACGGCATATCGTGTTAATTATCGCGATATATCGTGTTTAATTATCGCGATATATCGTGTTTAATTATCGCGATATAGCGTGTTAATTATCACGATATATCGTGTTAATTATCGCGATATATCGTGTTAATTATCGCGATATATCGTGTTAATTATCGCGATAAATCGTGTTAATTATCGCGATATATCGCGCACCGCTCGTTGACAACACTGGGGCCCCACGCGGAACACACGTGTCGGCGACGTCACGTGGCCGGACCCCCTCGGCCAATCACCGCGCGCTTCCGGGAGCTCGCCGAGGTCCGCGTCGACGAGACGCGAAGCCGGAGGGTCGAGGTTCAGTCCCGGATCGCGGCGATAAACAACAACAACAGCATCGTTTAGAGTAAACACAACAACAACGTTTAGAGTAAACAACAAGTACTACCGCTACGACTGCTGCCGCTCGCGTTCGAGCAGCTCCAGCAGCCACGGGCTCACACGCGCCGCGCCTACGATGAGCGACAATGACGACATCGAAGTGGAGTCGGATGTGAGAGGGGGAGGGGGAGGGGGGCGGGGGGGGGGGAGAGGGGGGCGGGGGGAGAGGGGCGGGGGGGGGGGGAGAGGGGGGGCGGGGGGGGGAGAGGGGGGGGGGAGAGGAGGGGGGAGGGGGGAGGGGCGGGGGAGGGGGGAGGGGGGGAGAGGGGGGGGGGAGGGGGGAGAGAGGGGGGGGGAGGGGGGGGGGGGAGAGGGGCGGGGGGAGGGGGAGAGGGGC